AGCGTGCGGGGGGCGCCAAGCCTGGGGACCTCGGGTTTTGGGTGGGAACCTTGGGGCGCTTCTCAAAACACGGAGTAACGGTTCTTAGGAATTCCCAAGCTTCGCCCAGGGAGCTGGGAAGGCCCCCAAATATCCACACACACACACACCCACCCCTCCTTCGCCCCGAGGTTTCAGCCCCTTCTCCCTGCACCCCCTCTGCCGGGGTCGGACTGGGGGTGCCGGTGGTGGAGGGAAGGGGCCGCCCGCGGGACCGTGCCCAAGCCTGGACTGACCAGGGAGGGTGGAGACTGTGGTTATGTGGGCCTTATCTTCCAGGCTTTGGACGCGAGCCCCTGCAGAGTAAGAGTCTGGGGGTTCGTTGTGCAGTGCCTGGGGCTTGACCACCCGCCGGCCAGGCTCCCGGTCCAGTAGATCCCCCAACCTGGAAGCGTTGAGAAGCAGATAAGAGGAGAAAGTGCCTGGCACCCAAGGAGCCCTGCTTTGCCAGACCTAGCCTCTGGGTGCCCTGAGATTGGAATATCTCCCTCGCAGGCCTGTGGCCAGGAGTCCCCCAGATAAGGTGCACAGAGATGCTGAACGAGATACGTGGTGTTCATGACTAACTTCTTGCCTCTCTTTCCACAGCCCTTGCATGAAAATGGCAATCCACCTCTACTTGGTGGAGAGGATTAAGAAGACGGTAGGTGTGAAAGGGCTTCATAAACTGCAGTAGCCGTGATACAAATGTGGGAGTTTTCCCTCACAACCTCTCTGCTGATACGGATGAAGCAGCCAAGAAACAACCTCGCATTTTCTTCTTCCAAATGCTCCGTAATCAGTTCTGGCAGGTGAAGGGGAACTATTCATGACCCGCAGCTGGGAGGGAAAAAAACAAACCCACGGAGGAACTCATCCTGGGAGAAGCCAGGCCTCAAAGTGGATTGAACTAGATGGAGTGTACATCGTCAGCTTTTCCTGCATTTATCAGCGAATCGCATTAGATCCACTTGGGCCACGGGGCTGGGGCTGTCAGAATAGTTTTTACTTTCTGGGGCTTAAAGGAGAGATGAATCTTGGCCTCTGAAGACATGGATTGGGTGATCAGCAGGATCTAGTGGACTGTAAGAGGAAACCCTGGGGACCTGTGTGGTTACGTGCTAACCGCAAGGTCAGCAGTTTGAAACCACCAGCTGCTTCTTGAGAGAGACAGGGCTTTCTGCTCCAGTGTACAGTTCCAGCAACCCACATGGGCAATTCTCTCCTGTGCTATAAGATCACTGGAGTCGGCATCGACTCGTTGACAGTGAGTTTGTCTTTTGTTTATTTTGGAGTAGACTGTGGGGTTTAGCCAACATTGAAGAGATGGTAACTCCCTGTGTTTTCTTTTTCTTACAGACGTTTGTTGTTAGTAGCTGATCTTTCTAGGATGACACTCTTCCTCCCCCCGCCCCCTGTAAAATGTATTTCATCTATGTCTGAACTAAACATGAACGTTGTCCAACCCACAAAATACCAAGCATCCCGTCTCCCAGTTAATGTGAATGCCGTGTTTTGTTTTGTTTGTAACCAACTACAGCTTGATCCGCAGCCTTGCCATCTTTCTCCAGGTTCCATTGAGTTGATTCCAACTCGTGGCAGCTTCATCTGTGTCAGAGTGGAACCGTGACGGATTTTTCAGAAGTCAATTGCCAGGCCTTCCAACACATCTCTAGGTGAACTGGAATCCTCCTGCCTCTGGGTTAGCAGCCAAGCACGTGATTTGCCCCATCCTGGGAGTCAAGCTTGCTTTCTTTAGAAAGAAGTACTAAACGATCCAGTGAGAATGTCTACTTCCTGACAACTTCCAAAGCCTTACTTCTTTAAGCCCTGTGCCCACATATCTTGACACAAACCCAAATCTGGAGAAATGGCCTGTGAGGCCTTCTGTGTTAGTCTGGGTTGATGCGAGAAACAAATCCATAGAAACACTCGTATGTGTTTAAGAAATTGGCTCATATACAAGAACAATTGAATTGAGTAAACATCCCAGCCCAGTCCAGACCAAGTCCAAAAGTCCAATGTTAGCCCATTTGTCAGATACCAACTATGAAGTCGTCTTGAGACCCATGAAATACAGTGAACCCTCGTTTATCGCGGTTAATCGGTTCTAGACCCTACCGTGATAAATGAAATTCCGCGAAGTAGGATTCCTTATATCCAAAAGTTTTACCTTT